TATGCAGTGAAGTGATGCAATTAAAGGCTAATATTGCATCATCTCAGTATACATGACATTTTCTATTGGTCACCAGTATCAATTGCGCAATATGCAGCTGAAGTTGCATCATAATTTTGAATGGCTTACGTCATTAGATGGGTGAATATATCATGGAAACTAGAGCCAATCAACATTTTTTTAGGGTCATTTTCGTTTTCAGCACCCCAAAATTATGTAAGATTAGCTAATTTTATGCCCAAAACTTTTTACCTGTTGAACAGTGTAATTAGCAGCTGGTGGGTAACTGAATTGTTTCCACCCAAAACTATGGTACCTGACTGACCTTTCAGGACTAAACATAGGCTCTAACGGGCTTGTTGTAAGTCAGTTCCTACAACTTATTACTATGTGTTCGCACTACAATGCTTTACTCTACTGCTTGGTTTGAAAGTATACAAACAAGAACTGTAAAATCAGCTATGCCTAGATGTGCAATTATACCATTCCTACTTTGAGTCTACAGCCTTAAGGGCCCTTTCACATCACTCAGGTCTATTGCAGTGGGTTTTACATAAGTGTGTTATTTTGGGCATTAGCATGCACCGCATTACGACAGCCCATTATATTTCAAAGGAATGCCTAATACACCACAAAGGTCTTAAAATCAGACCTGAAGTATTTTTGTATTACAGTGCACCACTTAATGCATGGGGGAGCATTACCACATGCTGTGGAGCATTGCAACATACGTATTTTCCTATTACATATGCATGCTGTGTCTGTTTTGACCAACTGAACACTGTACAATCTCCAGGTGAACCTCCTCTGTCCTTTATAAATATGTACGCACAAGTGAAACAAGTATTTTATTTGTTAAACTATTGTGAATATTGAGCAGCAAGTAAAGTCTACCAGATGGGTGATGAATGTCCTCCCCCATCCTCTGGAACTCACTACCCCAATCCATCAGACTGTCACCTTCCCTCCTCACCTTCAGGCGCTCCCTGAAAACCCACCTCTTCAGGGAAGCCTACCCCACCCTCACCTAACAGCCGCTGCCCTTCCCTCCTCCTACCACTCCATCCCCCACAGCCATTTCCTCCTGTACCTCTACCCCCTCCCTCCTAGATTGTAAGCTCAAAAGAGTAGGGCCCTCTTACCCCTTGTGTGCTGTTTGATGTTACTGTACTGTTTCATGTATTGTCCCCCCCCTATTGTACAGCGCTGAGCAAACCCTTTGGCGCTATATAAACTCGATAAATAAATAATAAATAAATAAATAAATGAATTGCTTCCTAACTTCCACTCCCACAAATAGGAACAAAAGAGGGGAAACCTTACTGACAGAACCAGAGAAAGCAATAAATACCCACCAGAGCATATAACCCCTTTCCACTCAATATAAAGCTTTAAAACGTTTCCACTGGAGTTGAGCTGAACAGCTGGAATTCACTTTCAGTTACTTCAATGCTACAGCCAAAAATGTGTTGGGGACGGGGAGCTTTTGTTCAGTTCAATAGAACAGGTATATATGGACAGAATAAGCAATTATTAATTTGCATTTTCGGACATGGCATGTAAACTGATGCACATTTAAACAAAAGCCGAAGACATGTACATGCCAGTGAATTTGATTTGAAATGATGAATAATTTAGTCGATACAACACTTGGCTCAATAAAAGACCCTTTGTGGCTATCATGTTTCCAATGTACTTCCAGAATGAGACCTATCCATCATTTCATGTAAATCAATATCATCTCTCTACACATATGCACAGTTGTGTATGTACTGATTTATGTTGGAGCCAAATTAAAATGACAATGAATACATGTCGAAAAGAAAGACAAACGTCACAATTCAACTGTTTTTGACTTTACATATACATACTTAGAACAGTAAATATGTGAACCTCACCTTGTAAAACAATCCATTCGATTTGTGTTTACATATAAATTATTATAAATACAGTGATACCTCGGTTTAAGAACGCCTCGGTTAAAGTAATTTTCGGTTTACAAATGAAAATCCACTGAAAATAACGCCTCGGTTTACAAATTTTGTATGAATTGTTTTCGCAATACGAACTGTATGTCGGTGCTGATTTTTAAATGCAATTGCTGGCTCTTTTTTTTTTCTTCACTATAGCTCACAGAATTAGCTGTCACTTTCCCCAAAGTTAACGGAAATGTTGTTTCTTTTAAGAAACTAAAAAGAAACATTGTTTGCCCCCCCCCCCCCCCTTTTCCTGACCTGCCAGGCTGCATGCTCTGAAAAGGGTCTGGTATGGATTTTGGGGAGGACCCCCACACCATTTTGTTTTAAATTTTGGCGTGGGAGTTCCCCTCAAAATCCATACCAGACACGAAGGCCTTGGTATGGATGGGAAGGGGGACCCCACGCAGTTTTTTAAATTATTTTTTTAATTGCTGGCAATTCTTTTACATCCAGCTGTCAGTGGGGAACCCCGCTGACAGTGAAATATTATCACATGGTTGTCACTACTAAAATGCTGCATGACTTGATAAAATAACTGCAGTATTTATTAGTGTTTACTTTTTTCTGATCTCCGGAACAGATTAATTGGATTTCAATGCATTCCTATGGGAAACTGTGTTTCGGTTTAAGAATTTTTCGCTATAAGAAAAGTCCTGCAGAACGAATTAAATACTTAAACCGAGGTATTACTGTACCATTTTCCCCCTTTTTTGAAGTGATTACATTCTCTCTGTTCTCACCTGCAGACGGAGCTCAGAGAGCTGGGGGAGGAGAAATAGCATCATGCTGGTCTTCCCAGTGAATGGCTGTGCATGGGCGGGTGGGGTATCAGGATAAGTCTAATCATTGGAGAAGAACAGGCTAAGTTCTCAGCACAGATAGAAAACTCACCATGATGTGTTTTTGATAGGAAAGCAGAGGGACTGGCAGAGACGCCAGGGATTTCACACAAAGGAAGCAATACAAAGAGAACAAGATACTTTTTCATGCAGGCACATATCAGGAATATGAAATGTTGCATTTACATATTCTTTAACCTCCTAGGCGGTATTCCGGATTGTAGCTCGGGGTAAAGTTTCAGTACCACAAGCGGTAAACCCCCCCCAGCTACACTCGGGCTTACCATGCGGCGCTGCTCGGGGATCCCTCGATCACTTACCTTGTCCTGCGCTCCTGCGATGTCCCTCCTGCAGTGTCCCCGGCAATGTAATCCGGCGGATGCCAGCATCTGTCATCTGGGTTCCGTCCCCTGCGAGCGTCGGGACGTACGGGGGACAGAACGGCGGGAAATTTAAAAATGTAAAAAAGTGACATTCACTAAAATCACTAAAATCACATAATATAACATTCCTGTATCAAACCATTTCACATACATTTTGTCCCGAGTGCTTTGTCCGGCGCCCTGCCTGCATTTTGACTGTTCTTTCTGCCTGGAAACTGAGAAACGTCCATGGCGTCCAAAAAGCGTCCCTTTAGGTCAGACGCGGTTTTAGATCAGCTAGAGAACAGCGATAGTAAATCAGAACCACTTGCAGAATTGAGTGATAATGATTCGTGGGGGAAATTCCTCATCAGACACTGAAAACGATTCTGCGACTTTGCTCAGCGATGTGCGAATTTGCCTCTGTATTTCAAATTGTTTTTGGTTTGGTTATATTATTGAATTAAATGTATTATTATTATATTATTATTTTTTATGATTATTTATTAAATTATAATTTATGATTTCGTGTTTCAAGTTTTATCCTCACGGGATGTTTACTAGACTCTTGTTCGGACAGATTTCAGTGAGTTATTCCTAAAAATTACAGCCTACAATAAAAAAAATACATATTTCCATGCAAAAAATGTACCGCTTTGAGCACAGAAATATGGACATAATCAGACCGCCAGGGAGGTTAAGCACAGGAACTTCTCAATTTTGAGACATGGTAATGCTGGTCATGCAAAGCCAGATTTCGTGCAGTAAGATAGTATATGCATATTCTTCAAATGATCGGCAAATATCCAAAAGAGGTCTTGATTTTCAGCGATTTCATACATCTTTCACTATTAAGCTCCTGTCCAATGGTTGTTTTGTTGATTAGTAGACTGTGCCGATCACTCACTTTGTATCCTAGACAGGTAACACTTTCAAAAAGTAAAAGATTGATGCTAATCAAAGTGTTGCTACAGCAGTCAAATTAGTGAATTATTCAAATAGACGGTTGAAGTGTTACTAAACCCACAGCACTAAAATCAGTCTGTAGATGCAGTAAAGCGTGCTGGTTATACTCACTGTGGAACCTAAGGGGTTAATCCTCCGCATTGTGTAAAAAGAATATTTGCTCCTGTCTTCTCTGATCTTCCCTTTCTTCTAGTGTCCCCAATATATCTCCTGATAGAACAGAGGCCTGGGGGCAAGCTGCACATGCTCAGTTTGGTGTGTATTGCTAGGTTGTTTTTTTTTTTGGGAGGGTGCATGTCATCAGCACAGGACAAATCAGCATTGTCCAGATAGAGGGTCAGGGGTCCTGCAGACTCACAGGGGAGAATGAAAACTCCTCCTACAAGTTTTAACCAGTGCTTTGCTGGACACTGATAGAAGTTACAAGACTGCTCTAACTGCTGATGAGAAAAGGTATTTAGCCATTATATTTACTAAAATAATTGCATTTCCATGTTCTGTGTACCGTGGGAGACCAGATATAGAGAATGCAGGGTCCTGGGTTTAGTAACACTTTAAGTGTTCCTATCTGATTTAGATTCTATATTTCCAGTTGGGGTGACACAGAGGTTTATACATGCTACTGTAATACAGAATACAAAATTGCTCACGTTAGCAGTAGACCCATAAGTAGAATTTAACTGCTTACCTGCCGCCCTATAGTAGAACTACTGCTACAGGGCGGCAGGGCTGCGAAAAAGCACACATATATATATATACACGTGATTTGCATTTCCAGGTAGGGGGTGCGTGTGCGCCACCCTACCCGCGCTGCTATTGGTGGCTAGGCATGTCAATGCACTGTCAGGTCCCAGATGGAGATTCCCCCACCGGCACCCAGAAACCACCGAGTAAAGCTGAAAGGGGAGAGACCTGTGTATAAACAACAAAGGTCTCTCTCCTGCCAGCAAGGACATGCTGCCTTGTATCTCTCTAAAAAATACACACAGCACAGTTAACCCTTTGATTGCCCAGACGTTAACCCCTTCCTGTCCAGTGTCATTAGTACAGCATCAGTGCTTTTTATTAGCACTGATCACTGTATTAGTGTCACTGCGGATGTCAGTGGCAGTTAGCCAGTCCCCCCCCCCCCCCCCCCCAGTGTCAGAATCCCTGCCGCAGTTCCGCTATAAATCACTGATTGCTGCCATTACAAGTATAAAAAAAATAAAAATAGAAATGTCAGTATATACACCGCCATTTGTAAACGCTATAACTTTCACATAAACCAATTAATTTACACGAATTGGGATTTTTTTTTTAGCGAAGACATGTAGCAGAATACATTTTGGCCTAAATTTTTGACGAAATTTTATTTAATTTTTTTTATTGGATATGTTTTATAGCAAAAAGTCAAAAATATATTTTTTTTCAAAATTGACAAGTTTTTTTTTTTGTTTATAGGGCATAAAATAAAAATTGCACAGGTGATCAAATACCACCAAAAGAAAGGTCTATCTGTGGGAAAAAAAAGGACATACATTGTATTTATGTACAGCGTTGCATGACTGCGCAATTGTCAGGTAAAGTAACATAGTGTCGTATCGCAAAAAAATGGCTTCGTCGGGGGGGGGGGGGGGGGGTAAATCTTCTGGAGGGCAAGTGGTTAAACTGGAACTTTATCCATAACAACGTGATAAAAAAATAAAGTTCTTAACAAGAAACAGAATTGCATATTAATAATTATGCTAACAAAATGAGTGTGTGCTGTAAATTGCCTCCAGCATTGTTCCTGTTTCTTCTTGCTGGAGGCTGCTGTTTTGCTGAAGCCCAAAGCCCCTGAGCAGCAGTAAATCTTTAGGCTGTCTGCAGATCGGCCTCTATTGGCACAGTGCTGAAAAATAGAGAGCAACTGAGCATGTGCAGAGCAGTGTGAGACAGTGTCTTACTGGATTTTAAACAGTACAGGCAATTATTTGTAATGTTTTACATAGCTATACCTGCAAAAGGGGCCAACCTGAAGTGATCCAGCAGGACACCATGTTCCAAATTATTATGCAAATTCTATTTAAGTGTCACAAAGATTAAATATTTTGTTTTTCAGTGTAACTCATGGATGGCATTGTGTGTCAGGGCTCTTTTGATCACTGAAAACAATCTGGGACACCTGTGATAATTAGATTGGCCGGTGAGCCCAATTTAACCCCTTGCTACCAGGCACGGCGTTCCCCCTTATTTACCAGCAATTTTCAGCTTTTCGCTGCCGCACTTTGATTGACAATTGCGCGGTCATGCAACATTGTACCCATATGAAATTTTGATCATCTTTTTTCTCACAAAAGAGCTTTCTTTTGGTGAAATTTAATCGCCACTGGGCGCTTTACTTTTTGCGCTATAAATTAAAAAAAAGTGCAAAAAATTTGAAAAAAAAAAAGTTTGTTTCTTTTATAAAATATTTCAAACAGGTATTTTTTCTCTGATTCATGAGCGGACGGGTTGGATGGGCACTGATAAAGGCACATGATGGGCACTGATAGGCAGCACTAAAGGGCACTGATAGGCAGTACTAATGAGCAGTGGCACAGAATAGGCGGCACTGATAGACAGCACTAATAGGGGTCACGGATAGGCGGCACTGATATGCAGCACTGATAGGCGGCACTGATAGGTGACACTCCAGATGATGGGTAACTGATAGACGGCACTGACTGGCATCACTTCTGGGCACTGACTGGCGGCACTGACTGGCACAACCCCTGGGCACTGACTGGTGGCACTGACTGGCAGCACTGGTGGGTGGCACTGGTGGGTGGGCACAGGTGGGTGGCACTGGTGGGCACAGGTGGGTGGCGCTGGTGGGCACAGGTGGGTGGGCACAGGTGGGTGGCACTGCTGGGCACATGTAGTGGCACTGCTGGGCACAGGTAGGTGGCACTGCAGAGTGGCACAGGTGGGGGCACTGCTGGGCACAGGTGGGGGCACTGCTGGGCACAGGTGGGGGCACTGCTGGGAATGGGTGGGCGGGGGCTAGTGGGCGCACAGCTGATCGGAACTTGCGGGGGTCACTGCTGGGCACCGATCATCAGGGCACTGATCATCAGTGCCCTGATGATCGGTGCCGATCCCCCCGCTCTGACAACTGCCGGTTCTCGGCAGTACTTTCCTCACGATCTGACAGCATGAGGAAAGTGCAGCCGAGAACCGGCACTTGCATTTTCCTGTGATCAGCGTGTCATTGGACACCGCTGATCACGTGGTAAAAGGCCGGTGGGATCGGCCTTTCACCACATCTCGTGATCAGCTGTGTCCGTAGGACACAGCGATCACGGAGATCGCCGGGTGCGCGCCCCCTGGGGCGCGCAGGAGAGCGCGTTCTGGGGAGGACGTCATATGACGTCCACTCAGAAACTGGCCGGCCGCGGTGAAGCCGTCATTCGGCTATGCGCGGTCGGCAAGTGGTTAAGGAAAAACTACTAAAGGGCGGCGTTCCCCATTATTAAGCAGAGCACCATTTTCAAGCAATATGAGGAAGAAAAAGGATCTCTCTGCTGCCGAAAAGAGTGAAATAGTTCGATGCCTTGGACGAGGTATGAAAACATTCGATATTTCAGGAAAACTTAAGCGTGATCATCACACTATGAAGAGATTTGTGGCGGATTCAGAGCACAGACGGGTTGGTGCAGATAAAGGCACATTGAGGAAGATTTCTGCCAGATCCATGCATCGGATCAAGAGAGCAGCTGCTAAAATCCCATTACATACCAGCAAACAGATATTTGAAGCTGCTGGTGCCCTCTGGAGTCCCACGGACATCAAGGTGTAGAGTCCTCCAGAGTTTTGCAACTGTGCATAAACCTTCTATTCGGCCACCACTAACCAATGCTCACAAGCAGAAACGGCTGCATTGGGCAGAAAAAATACATGAAGACTAATTTTCAAACAGTCCTGTTCACTGATGAGTGCCGTGCAACCCTGGATGGTCCAGATGGATAGAGTAGTGGATGGTTGGTGGACGGCCACCCTGTTCCAACAAGGCTGCAACGTCAGCAAGGAGGTGGTGGAGTCATGTTTTGGGCCGGAATCATGGGAACAGAGCTGGTCGGCCCCTTTAGGGGCCCCGAAGGTGTAAAGATGACCTCTGAACAGTATGTGGAGTTTATGACTGACCACTTTCTTCCCTGGTACAGAAGGAAAGAACTATGCTTTCCGTAATAAAATCATCTTCATGCATGACAATGCACCATCTCATGCTGCAAAGAATACCTCTGCATCAATGGCTGCTATGGGGATAAAAGGAGAGAAAGTCATGGTGTGGCCGCCATCCTCCCCTGACCTCAATCCTATTGAGAACCTTTGGAGCATCCTCATGCAAAAGATCTATGAGGGTGGGAGGCAGTTTACATCCAAACAGCAGCTCTGGGAGGCTATTCTGACATCTTGCAAACAAATTCAAGCAGAAACTGTCCAAAAACTCCCAAGTTCAATGGATGCCAGACTTGTGATCTGCTATCAGATAAGGGCTCCTATGTTACAATGTAACGTGACCGCTTCAAATGTTTACAAAGTTAAAATGCTGTTAAAAGTTTGATTGAAATAGCTTTTGATTTCAGTAAATATGCTGCAAACACAACAAATGACAATTTTCAGTTCTTTACAACCTAGAAAGTGTTTTGAAACTTCCTGTGTGTAATAATTTGGAACAAAAATCCTGTTATCATTAGGAGGTTTGTTCAATAAAATGTGAATTGTACTCTTCTAGTTGTAACCTGAGAATTCTGCCGACTGATATTTACATCAATTATTTAGGCAAATGAGAAAAATATCATTTGCATAATTATTTGGAACACGGTGTCATTTTCTGCCTAAAGTTCCACTTTAACCACTCCAATACCGGCACTTTTACCCCCTTCCTGCTCAGGCCAATGTTCACCTTTCAGCGCTGTTGCACTTTGAATTACAATTATGCGGTCATGCAACACTGTACCCATATGAAATTTTTGTAATTTTTTTTTCACACAACTAGAGCTTTCTTTTGGTGGTATTTAATCACCACTGAGTTTTTATTTTTTGCTAAATAAAAAAAAAAGAAAACCTGAAACTTTTGAAAAAAAACAAAACACATTTTTCTTCGCTTTCAGTTATAAAATTTTGCAAATAAATAACATTTCTTCATAAATTTAGGTCAAAATGTATTCTGCTACATTTCTGTGGTGAAAATACCCCAAATTAGTGTATATTATTTAGTCTGTAAGAAAGTTATACAGTCAACAAACCAAAGTATATATATCTGACAATTGATCAATCCTGATGTACTGACAGCCCATCTTATTTCTTGAGGCCTGAAAATGCCAGGATAGTACAAATACCCCCCAAATCACCCATTTTTGGAAAATAGTTCAAGATATTTAGTAAGAGGCATGATGAGGTTTTTTGTAAAATGTAGTCACCAGTGCAGTACAGCAATATATAACTGATGTGGTGGTGATCAGAGACACTGACTGGTGACAGTATATAAAAAAAAATAAAAATAATAATAATAATTTAATTTGTATTTTTTTCACATTTTTCTATTATTTGTTTATTTTTTATTACATTATTTTTTTCTTTTTTTTACTATTTTTTTTTCAACACACTGTGACCAAAGCAATAAAATGTTACCATAGTAACATTGAACTACTCTAAGCAAGTGATCAGAATTTTTTTTTTTTTTAACACATTATGATTGCTAATACCAATGTATTTCATTGATATTTGCAATCATTGTTACTGAAACTGTATCATGTGACTGCTTTGACCAGTCACAGCTAATAACATAATTGTATACAATGGATGGCATGACAGGAAGCCATACATTGTATACAACTGACGTGTGAATCTGCTGTGATTGGTCACAGCGGTCACATGACAATGGCAAGGGACTGGTGTAGTGATATGTCATCAGCTGTGTCCCGTGGACACAGAAAGTACCAGA